TAATGATTGTACATATCAAAGTGAAGCGACATTAGATCTCCGAATGCTCTGTATTTATGTCCATCTTCCAATCGCACATTCTTTTTTACCTGTTCCTGTTTAGAGTTCGTTCGGAGGTGCGAAAATTGATCGCTGCCCTGGCCAAGCACAATGTGGATACTCGTCGAAGTCTGCTCTCTCGTTGGGCCGTCGATCCACTGTGTAAGTGCAGTTGGGTTTTTTTAACACTAAATTTTTCACTCGTCATTTTAGAACAAACCACATGATTGGAAGAATTCATTGGGCAGTCATGGGAGTTTGCATCCGGGATTTGCATTGAATAGACCTGACGACAGCAAACCTGTCACCACCGTCAAAATCCAACGGAGATGGTAGGATTCACTCGTCAGTCCCAAAAGTCCGAGGCACGGGAGTATTACAAACTAAAATCAGTTGATCTCCGTTACGGTACAAAATTTTAGCGCATGCAATAGTCACATAGTTTGAAGTCCATGGACTGGAATGACAAACCACGACTGTATACCATTCGTTTATTGACAGGTGGTCATATTATTTGTGCACAGTTGGAAACACACGCCGTGGTCTACTTACGGCGACTCCGAAGTTCGAACAAGCTGAAGGTTCATCGATTTGTACAATCCTTTCGGGATGTTGTTCGTAGGTCCCGGTTGCGAGTCTTTGTAACTCAACTATGAATTTCATCAGTCACATCTACATTGAATAGGCTTGGTTCAATTCTCATGGTACCATTTACCCCCGCTGTACACCATTATGTAGAGTAGATGCCTCTCTTCTCTACATATTGGGGTCCGAAAGAGTCTGTAACTGGTCGATTGGGGGCGCTGAAGAATATGGCAGTGAACCGACAACAGTGGCTTTCTTGTGGTCGTTTCTTATCAGGTGCTGTGTGCTGACTATAGAGGTTAACTTTCTTTGCCTCCCTCCAGTTAGACGCAAACTCTGTCCAATCTTGTACTTTCTCGTTCACTTCACTATATCTCACTGTACGATGATGATAACTGTACGCTGTTCTGTATATACCGATGACGATACATGGACAGTTAGCGGGGCCAGTGTTTCAAATCGCTTGTGTTCCTATCTAACCTATCGGGGTCTTACGTGGTTCGCCACTCCAAGTCCCCGCGGGGCTTAGGTTTCCGGTTTGCACCACTGAGGTCCTCGCCTCGTCTGCTGTTCATCACACGTAGGTGTGTAATCCAAAAAAAAAGGATTTGTAATAGTCAGTAAACTCCTGAATGTTCAGCCAGCAATGAGAAACGGTAACTGGATATCCAACGGACGGATTGAGTATAGTTGATTCCTAGTATCTAGTAAAACTAAATGAGCACTTGAAACCATAGCTGGAACAGAGGTGACGTTCAAACCTTGCACCGTCGCGCAACACAATATTATCCTATTGTGTGTTCGACGCCGATACACGGCCCATTCGAGGTTCTTCTTTCGAAGTCCTCTCATCATCAAAGGAATATTTGCTGATCGTCATACGATCCGACCACACCTATTGAGCAGTCGTCTTCGTGTACTCTCTGAACCGGCAAATTCACATTGCTATTTCCACAAGATAACTCCTCCGCAGTCATTGAAATATCCTACGGCCTGTCACAAAAGGCTGACAGACCACTTCCGAGAAGACAATGACCAGCACCCAATCCGACTGACTTTTAACCAAAAACTGCTTATAAGGATGATGATGATCATCGCATCTTGGGACGACTATTTGAGGCCGTTAGATTGATTTGTTGGTGTCTTCATCCGATGGGGTTCAGTTCTCATTATCTTAGTCAACGCTGTTTTTGTGCAACAGTTCGGTATTACTACAGCTGCCACGCAGAACGGCATTTCTCCAATTGTGTTTCTTTTTGTACACAGACTTACCTTCTTTTTGTTCCGAAGTGAAGTGGCCACACTGTATGTATATGTGTTCTATGCTGATAATTATGATCACAATGTATTGATCCGTCCAATTTGTTTGTGATTCACCTAACCTCGACAGTGCGAGATGGTTCGTGAAAAAAAATATATCGTTTATGCACGTCAGCTTATTTCCCCGCTAAAACTCTCCCTCTCCACATTTCCTGCTTTGTATTCTCAGACCTTTCCAAGGAACTTGCATCCTGGTTACCCGCCGATGCAGCTGCTGAATTCCATTCCCAGTGGCCCTTGGTCCCTGTGAAAAATTCGGTCGAAGATTGATTCGCCAATCACGGTGTTCTTGATTTCCCCTTGGTCCACTGTAAATAAATACGCTCACATTCTGTGTTCGTCGTTCTCTTTCCCTCCCGGTATTTCACCGATTTAGCGCACTCAGTGTGCGTTTCAATTCGACTTGATGGCTACAAAATCCCGAGTGTAACTGACGGAGACGCATTGAAGATGTACTTGAGAACCCATTAGTAGAATTGGTGTATATATACATTCTAAGGGTATATTATGAAGTCATGCCCCCCCCCATGGATCCTGTCGTTGGCTGTTTTCTAACGTTCCCGCCGTTCGCGGGCAACCTGTGCGGCACTTTTTCACCCGAATTGCTCTCTCTGTTCCTATTTAACTTTGTTATAGATTTGATTATGGAAGCAGTCCTG